TATATATATATATATATATATATAATGAACACATGACTTTCTCAAATTTATTACCAGCTAACTTACAAATTGTCCTGAAAAGAAAAAAAAACACACAGAAAAATCCAAATATGGTCCTGCAAGAAGAAGTTTTAGACCATGAACTTTTTCTAGATCCAACCGTCAATGTCCATTTCCCTGAACATCATTACATCATCCAAACAGTCCAAATCAAAGTCGAGGAACCAATCCTCAATTGCTGCACCGTTATTTCTCTCTTCAATGACCATTTTTTGAGCGGCTGCTTCAACCGCCACAGCTGCAGCAGATGGAGAAGGAACATTTGGAAGGTTTGTTGGATAAGATTTGGTGGAATTAACGGCCTTGGGACGGATCATTTCAGCCGTCCGATCGTTTTTGTACGGGGGAGATGATGTTGGTAGAGATTTGGTGGAAATAACGGCCTTGGGACGGATTATTTCAGCCATCCGATCGTTTTTGTACGGGGGAGATGATGTTGGTAGTGCTGCGTCTGCTTTCGTTTGGCGCTGCTGATTGCGAAGCTTTTTACCTAAGGTTGTGTTCCAGTAATTTTTTATCTCATTATCTGTTCGACCAGGAATTCTTCCGGCGATCAAAGACCACCTGAGATTTCGTTGATAGACCAACTTTAATTAATAAGTAATTATGACTGATTTATTTTAGAAGATAATATTGAAGCTGAGATGCTTAGTATAATTACATCCCTAATTATGTTCAAGTTCATTTGTTTTTATATCTTTGTGATAGTGATTATAATTAAGAATAATCTTAAATTTTCAGGTAAAAACAATGAAATTTTGTCAAAACGAAGGTATTTAAATCAAATTAGTGAATAAGCTCGTCATGACACTAATCAAAGATAAAGTCAATGCCTGTCATAATACACTACTTCATGCTAATATCAACAAACATTTGCTAAAATTCACATCACAAGCTTACCTTTTTGGTCATCCCTATTATAACGAAAAAGGCTAAACCAACCATTAATCATCACACCAATTTTAATGCTCTACGTCAACTATAGATTAATTCTTACAAACAATTAATTTTTATTGTTTATCAATTATTAAACTTCGACATCATTCTTCGTAACCATAATCACCACTCTTAGTACAGCAATTGAGGTAATGACCAGCAATAACCTATTTTGCTTTGTTCCTTGTCGATTATTATTTGTTGTCTATCAATGAGATACATTTAATAAAGGTCAAATATTGACATTCGACTTCCATCGTTCTAATCATATGATATTCCTTCTTATTAATTGAATTAGTAAGCTAACCATGGCCATCGCTAACCTTTCCCATTCCTAATTAATTTTCACATGATAAATGCCAATGATTAATGTCCAACCTATTTAAATAGAAAATAATTGATGCATGTCTTCTCAAATTTATTAAGAAAATGAACAAGGCCATCATCCACCACCCAATTTTCAATGTTTCCCATTACATATTTCTTGAAACTTGTTAGCTTTCAATGTATTACATCTATCAACCCTTAATGTCTAATGTTCATCATTCTAATCACCAAATATCCTCATCTATATGTAGAATAACAAAGAGTATTTTGTGTTAGTATGAAATTTAGAATAATTCAATATTGATTCTTTCATCATGCTCCTTAACCCAACATTTGTCAATGATCAAAGTTACTATTTTTCATATTTTGATCTCCACTCATATTAGAGAATATCAAGCTTATTTTTGTTGTTCTCGTTGAATATTATTTGATAGCTATCAATGTCTGAAACTAACATATGAAAGCAACTTGCATTTGGTGTGTGCTTCATTGATCACTTAGTCTCTCTTTTTATTAAGAGAATAGTCAGACAAACTATCCATTATCACTCAGCCTCTCTCATCCTGATCAATTATCAACCAACGCTTAATTCCTCTTGAAGATTCTAAAACCTTAATATATCTACCCCCATAATAGAAACCTCCTCCAATTAAAATGTATTGCATTGTATTAATGTGTTATCAAGTTTTGAAGAATAATGATATTTGAAAATTTTAACTCACACAAGTGCAAAGATTTTTTTCATACAATACCTCATAGCTTTTTTTAATTTGGAGTTTTTAATATAAGAATATTGTATTTCCTTGGTATCACTTTCAAGTTATTTGTATGTGTGTTGTACATGTGTGGGATTTATAAAACTTTAAATTATTCATAATGAGAATGAGATAAAGGCAACCTATTCCCAATTAGTTTGTGTAGCCTTATGATGAGGTCCTCCTCTTCCTCGGAGAAGTTTCCATGTTTGATATTTGGCCTTAGATAATTTAGCCATCTGAGCCGGCAACTCTTCCCACATCTGTTTAGCCCTTCATAAAACATCACAAAGTATGCTTGTTAAAATAAAATTAAAAAAAAGTATATATATATATATATATATATATATATATATATGCGTGAGTGTGCGTGTGTGTGTGCGCACACTTGTATATATGTATATACACAATACATAAATATATGTATTTTATTTTATTGACTCGAGCTTACCTAACCTAAGCTTTATAAGCAAATTTAAAGTTGACTTGAGCAAAGCTTTGACATCAATTTTTAGCTCAATTAATGCTAAATCACAAGTCAATTTTTCTAAACCTTCTAATTATTAAAAGAAAATATGTCTTTAGATTTACTTTTTTATTTAAAACAAGGAGCACATAACTCAATAATTAAAAACATAATATACTATAAAAATCAAATTAATTTTTAAAAAAGTATAGAAAATTGAGATAATTTGTATACATTCTCTTTTGTCTCATAAATATTAAAAATTGATTTAAAATTTAGTAAAATCAAATAATAATTGGACATGATAAGTTCTTTATAAATAATCATTTATATTTACTGAGATAAAGTGAAATAATTAAAGTAGAACATAATATATGAGTTTGATTATATATTAAATTGGTGTTATGAATATGACATGTCTTTTAATGATGTTATCTCTAAAAAACCGTTTTATGTACTTTCACAAAAATAAAATAAAATTTGGGCATACCCTATCTTGAAATGTGGCTCATTTTTTTTCTTATTTAGCAGATGAAAATTTTCTCATTATGTCCACTGCTATGTAGGTGAGGAACAATAATGAGCCGAGAAAAATAAGAGGGACAATGTTAGCAAAGCTCTTGAGCTAACAAACCAAACATAAACTAGCTTCCACTTGACTCATTAGCTTGTGAGCCGTTTCATTTTAAAAAATAATAATATAATCTACACTGAAAATATATTAAAACTCAAGACTTCATTCATGAATTTTTAAAAATATTAAACAAATTATAATTTTCTATTAAGAAATTTTTTATTATTTATCTCCTATTTGCATATTTTTCAAAATTTTATTATAACAAAAATTTAAAATTAATATAGTTGAAGCTTGAGCTAATGAAGTCTTCGACCAACATTAAGAGCAACAAATTCTTTATCCATAAGCAATAATAATATAATCTAACCTTGCACGTGTTTCATCCTCCTAATTTTTAATATTTACATATCTATAAGTTAAATTTTGAAATCAAAATTTTTATGTTAGATAAATAAAAACATAAGTATATTATATGTATATATTAGAAAATAGTAAGTCTATTCATGTAAAATCTGTTTATAATAGAAAATAGTAAGTCTATTCATGTAAAATCTGTTTACATATTCTAAGCTAAGGGACATTTAAAAGGTCCCACCGAAAAGAAAAGCTAGAGAGGATGTATATATATATATATAGTGTACTGGGCTAACATAAATAATCAAATTAAAAACACTTTCTTCTTTACTATACATTGAAAAACTGAAGTTAATGCTTAAACTAGCCAGCTTCAACTATTCTCAACTTTTAAATAAGATACTCTTTTCAACTGTTGTTTCAATTTTAAAAAACATTACAAGTACTGACAAGTTTAATTTAACATAATATCAAAATAATTAATACAAGTAGTTTAGCATAATCATTTTCTGTTTAAAACTATAATATAATATGTAATAAGAATGAAAAATATATTATATTACTCATCATAATCATCAAAAAAAGGACTATGAATTTTCTAAAAAGAGATAATTAATGTGCTTTAAAACTTTGAAATTAAGATAAAGAATTGCACAAACACCCCCGCTGGTTTTATTTGATTGATTTATCACCAAACCTGCTTTCTGGGGAACGCTTTTCCAGCTTCCTTCTCCGTGGACTTGGATGCAGGAAATCAATAGCTTGTCCTCGTGAGCATTCCAGGCTCCCTTTGTTAATCCATTACTAGAAGAGCTTGCATTCCTTCCCATCTCTCTCCCCCTCTCTCCCACACACACAGACACACTCTCTCTCTCTCTAGATATTTCAGAAACTATATGTGTACTGAGACCGGAGGCCAAGGAGGATTCATATAGTAGATTGAAAGGCCGACTGTAATGATGAAATTGTTCCATTGTCCTCTCAAGATCTAGGTTATGTACAACACCGAAAAGCCAACAGCTTTATTGCCACTTCAAAACTATTATTTTTGAATGTTTTTGAAAAGTAGGGACTTTATAACTTTTAGTTTATATAAAATGTTTTAAATATGTTGAAATACGGTATATGATGAATTGTAAAGTTTTGTGGGGGTTGGCTGGCAGGAGGATGGGGGCAGTAGGCTGGCCGGTGGCTGCATTCGTAACTGGCTGCTTCGGGTGGGACAGATGAGGGTACCTACAAGTGTACATGCTAGTTGTGATTTGCTTCATATATTTGAAATTTATTTAATTTTGATGAATTTTAAACTCAAATAAGAGAAAAAACATTCTGGATAATTAAAAATGATTGATATTTGGTTTAGTTGATGTCTAATATAAATAGATTAAAATTTCTATATTTCTTTTTGTGGAATCCAAAATGTTCTATAGAGCACACCCAAGGAATAATGTTGGACGGATAACAAGAATCGAGAGAGAAAGAGAAAAGCATAGTGCACAATAATATAAGTTCTCAAAGAATACACTCTTCACATGGCTTTACATAGGCCTTTCACATGGCTTTCAGAGTACCACCACCAGATCCACCAAATCTTTGAGATTCAGGGCAAGCATTGACTTGGAGACATGCTCACCACAGCCTGCCGGATGGGCGAGCTGCTTGCCTGAATTGGTGAAGAGCTCTGAGCTCAATTAACAACAGCAAGGGCTTCTCTCGATTATGAGAGGAAGAGGGAGACGAACCAAGCAAATCGGGTTACCGTGTGGTATAGGAGAGCTACACTCCATATTAGAGTATAGGTCCCCCATACAGAGCACTATAGGATGTTGATAAGATTCTTATAATTATTTAAAATTCTAATATTTGATGTAATTATGTGGTGCTAATCATTCTCCTATGCTACACATGTCAATGAGTTGAATTGTGAGCCCTCCGTTGCGTAGCTGCATGTCTTAACCCATTAGCGTCGGGGGACGCAACAGCGAGTCTCAAAGCACTCCTAAATCGAAATCCCGTTGCCCGCTTCAGAAGGATATTTTAATTTACATATATATATAAGTTTTAGAAAAAATATGAAATCAAACTGACCCCATATTTTTCATAGTTTAAATAAAAGAGCACTATACCTTAGACCATGTATCTATCCCAAAGGATAAACACAAACTTGAGGATGAGGCTCGATCAAATAAACTAAGAAATATATGACCTTTGTTTGGTCTGCAAATCCATTTTATTTGCCGACAATTTCTCCTATCTAATACGAAGAATTAAATAGGGTTTATATTAAGCTGAGTTCCGACAAGCATCCTATAAGGGCAAGCCCCTATAGTTAATTACATCTTAAATGACCAAAGTCATTTAAGAAAACTCTAGATAAAAATCAAGAAATATTATCTTCAAGGCAAGAAATATTAGATAAAAATCAAGAAATATTATCTTCAAGGAGTTTAGAAGGATAGGACTTTCCAACAAAATCGGACAAAGATGTGTGAAATGGGAATAACTCAAATTTGGAACATTTTATTACAGAATCCAAGGAGGAACAACTAGGGGATGTCATAGATCCAGAGGAGAACCTCGGTGACTTCGTAGTCTATCCTATTGTTTGGCTTCAGTTTAGAAGAGAAATTATTTGAATATTCCATCCTGCCAATTTTATTAGTTAGGGCTTACATTCGTGTGAAATGATCACACAAATAGCCTAGAAAATGTGAGGGTTTAAGTCATGACAGACGACAACCTCGGAATCCTAAGACGAGTTAGAGCTTAGATTGTACAGTAGAGTTGTACAAATGCCTAAAGATGAGGTGAGGATTTATGTTGCATAAGCAAACAACCTTGAATTCCTATGGCTTTGTTGTTTAGGAAGGAAATTGGTTTAGTTGGGGAAGACATGTTTTGTTGTTGAAGATGGTCGTGCTGCCTACCATGCTAGCTCCAAGCTCCTCGTCGTGGCGAGTTTGAGTTTTCTAGTGTGTCAAGCTATGGTGTCAAATCAGGCGACCCTATGATTGTAGTTCTTTAAATATTATGGGGCATGTTAAAGTTGATTAGAGCGACACCGTTTACGATCCTACGGTTCCCTCGTTCCGGTACCACTATTTTCTATTGGATTTACTTAGTCCAAATGAATTTACTAAACTCAACTTAATGAGTTCCATACTTTCATTTAGACCGTAGGAAGCCTCGTTAACAACCGTAGGTTACCTCCTCTGAGGGATTCCCGATCATCCACTAGAGACGTCTTAATTTAATTGCAGTTGTTGTTTTTGTGATGCTTGTGATTAAATTTTGAGTTGTTTTATATTTTAAATGTTGTGGTGGTGAATTTTATTTTGGTTGATTTTTAGTTTTGATTTTAGTTTTAGTTTTGGTTTTGTGGCTATCCTAACAGTTTTGGTTTTCATGCAGGGTGACATCGTTGTTTAGCTTGCAAGTTTGTATTTTGGTTATACATGCAGGTGAGTAAGTAAAGTAACGTACTGAAAAAAAGTACGATAAACCAAAAATACAGGTAAATAAATCACAATAAAAGCATATCTGGATGGTCTTCCCATCATCTCCAACTGAAACTTCCAAATGAAACTCAAAATGCATGTGAGGGCATTTTATATAAAGCGGAAAAAATAAGGTTCCTAGATTATACCTTGGTGAGTCCTTATTGTTTTGATTAAGGATGATTTTATTAAGCAAAATATATCAAGTTTAGTAGACCTCCGAGATATCCAACAGGTAAGGAGAAAAAGGCAGGTCCATGCTTTTCTCTCACCGCCTAGTGAAAAGTCTCGAGCTCTTTTAAACTTATTATGTTGCTTAATAATCCATCCAGTAAATATTTCTAATGTTCAATGAACAGTGATGTTTCAATTATCCATAAGAGTAGGGTGATTAACATTTATCATTCAATTTGAGAATTATGCAGGTGAAGACCCTTAAAGGGGCAAGTTAGTATTATTAAGACTCTTAGCTATTTTTGGTTTTAACTTGGGCTTGTAGTGTTTCAAAGGTGTTCAATTTTTATTCACTTTTCTAAAATTCATTTAACTAAATTTGATTTAGCTTAAGTCACCACCAAGCCCTTAAAATCCTATGAATGTCTTAATCATTTTGAAAGAGATTAAATTTTAAGTGACAATAATTCATCATCAAAACTTTTGAATGTCACTTAAACAACATGTAGGGGTATTAAATTAGTGAGTTATTAACACCCCAAAACTATACCCCCAAGTCTAGATTCATTCAATTTGGTAGACTTCCAAATTTTGATATCCTAGGAAAAATTTCAAATTTATCTTTCAATTAAAAAAAATGAGATTGATTCCTATCAATTAATCCTTTGTATTTAAATCATCTAAATATGTTAATTAGGATCAAAGATTACCCATTTCCCTTTCTCGAATTAAGCCTAAATGTTAATTACGAATTAAGCCTAAATGTTACTAAATGTTAATTAAGGCTAAATTTCTAAAATTACACTTTTGCCCCTAAGGCTCTATCACTTCATAATTTATCAAATTTAATTCAAATGACTTTGGAAGTTTTATCTCACCTCACTCATGGGTCAATTAAAACATCAGAGCAGAAAATGTAATTTTTCAAATTTTAATTTAATTTATATAATTATTTATATGCAAGAATAGGATTTTTCAAAGAAAATTTCATAACTTGACTAAGACAAAGCCTAATAACTTGAAATTTTTATTGGAGGTAGACTTGGACTAGTAAAACACTTGAGCCAAATTTCATGGTTTTTGATTTCTATTTGAATTCCGAAAATTATTTTAAATTATGGAGTATTAATTAATTATAAAATATCTTTAATGTAGAAAATTAAGTTTTATATTTTTATTAAATCTCTCTAAGTTCAAGGAACCCAAAGAAACAAATTTTACTTTTTTCTGATTTTTCTTTGAATTATTAGAATTTTTTAAGTTAAAGATTAAAAAAAATATTTTTTAGCCTTTAAAAATTATTTTAAGCTTTAAAATTCAATATCTTCACTTAGAAAATTAGAAAAAATATTCCAATTTTTCCTAAGTGCTTAGGAAATAATTGAAAACATCCCCCATGAATTTTATTAATTTTGTGATTTTATTAATTTTTAATTATTAAATATTAAAATAGGCTTAAAAAATGAAGTTTTTATTTTATTTACAATTTTATTTTTAAAAATTTTCTCTGATCACAGAGAACTCCCAAAACCAATTCTTATGATTTTTTTGAGTTATATTTAATTATTAAAAATTATTTTAATGTCAAAATGATATTTAACTTAAAAAATCAATTTGAGTTATCAAATGAGCTCCAAATATTTTGAAAAGTTTATGGGAAGTTCTCTGAATCAAAATCAAGTCATTAGATATTTAGTTTTCCCAAATTAATTTTCTTTGTGTTTTAGGGTTTTGTGCAAATTAGGTGTGTTCTTAATGAATTAAGTCATGAAAAATTTTCAAAGGGTTCTCTGGTCACAATAAATCTTCCAAGATTTTCTTGGATTTTTCCAAGTAATATGCAAATTATTATGATTAATTTACGCAAATAATAGACACAAACTTGAAAATTATGGATCTCTGTCTAGAGGTCTTCTCTGACTTTGAAAAAATCAGAAAATATCCTCCATGATAGAGGCAACAACATGCCAAAATATCAAGTCATGGTGAAATATCTACACGCATGGAGAGTTAAAATACTCAAATCAGTATTTAATTAATTAAAAATAAAATATTCATCAAATAAAATTCAAACCATTTCCACATTCTTTTCCTCTGTTCACTGAGCACTAAGATATTTTTATTTTATTTTTGTGATTTTTCTACACCAAGATATGAATTTGTGAAGTTAAGGATCATTTTTTGAATTATTTAAATGCCTATTTTTCTACTTAAACACGCGGCGCCGCGTCATCCTTGGCGTCTCCAAAGTTCCATGCGGCATCTTCCAGTTTGGCACCACCATCTGAGTCAGCCCACGCTTTATGGACCACGTTCC